ATAGTTTTCAAGAAGAAGTCGAAAAAGTAAAACATTGACACGGATGCCGGACGACGCCGGACAATCACTCATATGATAAGCTCCGCTCGACAAAGTCGACAGCGGAGCTAAAAAGTGCAATATTAAATAGAGTTAATACGCAACTGACAGGGTGTTAGCCAGCCACCAGTACATCAACTAAACGGACTGGCAACTTTGATTTTGGACTGGCAACTTTTTCCCATTTTTCTGCTTTTTCGTATTTTTCTTTGATAATTTTACCAAAATATATCACAAACCATCTACATTTTTCATGAAGTTGAATTGTTATGGACTGACACAAGTGTTTGTGTACTAGAATAAATTCACTTGACAACAGTATTATTATAGATTTTATATTGGTTCAAATTGATTATTATCAGTCAATCATTATAATCACAAACTCTGAAGCAATGTTATGCTTTAAAACTATCATATACTGGAGATAATAAATTGCTCCAGCTACGCGGATTGAGTTACGAAAACATAAGTTACAACGTTCAACAAAAACAAAATCTATAGTATCCATGACTCAAAATTCGATTAACTGTTAATTAAAGTTTCGATTACACTTTGAGCATGGGCGTGATCGTTTTAGTAACTCGATGTCCGTAAGTCGAACTCAATTCTGCATCTCCACATATTGCTCACTTTATTCACTCAATGTATTCGTTACTAAAATTATAAAAAACATTCAACCAAACGTGACTGAGAACTGCGTTGCCACGCTGTTGGGTTGGTGTTGTTGCTGTGTTATGGCGTCGTTCGCAACGTATTCGCCGTATCGTGGTGGACCGCTGCGCTGATTCACGAGTTGTCTCGTGTTTTACTCCTACAAACTACGATCGGATGTGTGAATGAGCTCGTTATCCAAGAGTTGGACGATAATGCGTTATAATTAGAGGTAATTAATATTTATTTAACGGTGACAGGTGTACTTACCGTTGCATCCTCTCCGGCATAGTGGCTGATGACACGCCGTCCACCCGGGTGCCGGTGGCACCATTCCGTGATGTCGTACACTTTGTGGTTAACAACGACCCATTGATCGCTACGTTGGTTGTGTTGTTCCACCTCTTTTCTGGTAAATGTTCTCGTCACGCCGTTCCTGACATCGTCTCCGCCTTTCCCCATATTTCTAGCGAGTACTATCCCTGTTTCAGCAACTGTCGCGTCTGACACGAAGCACACTTACCGCCTATCGGCCAGGGTTCAAAATGGGGTGATGCGATTCGGACTAGACCATTGTAGAAAAGGGGTGATTCAATTTGCTTGTCTGTCACGTCTAGAGGGCGTTTTGAAATTGAAACAACAAACAGTCCCGAGCCAACTTTAAGAAAAATCTCACTGAGATGTCGTGTTTATGTTATTATTTTCATTTAATGAGAAGTGATAATATTCAGAGTTTTGGAAGTGGATATCTTTGTTATTTATATTATTTCTGGAGGCCGGAGAAGAAGACAGGGGACAAGAATGTGCTAATAGATCATATGTGTTCTTTTGAAAATATTCTCGTAAAGTTTTACTATTTTTACATCTCCTTTCTTCGCTTCAGACATTGATAATGTTAAAATATTTGATGTTTTTTATATAATAAAAGAGCGACAGTACTATCAACAAAAAAACTACTACCAACAAATTTACTACTGTAAATAATTTCTTTTTAGCTAACATGTAATTTTAGCTAATTTCCGCAATTTTTCTAATTGAAAATATAATATATCCTCACAATGAATATGTTAGAACTTTAGCTAAATTAAGATTCTGTTAATTCATGCATTCAAAATGACTATTTCAACGTGTTTTCAGTAAGTTGGGTATCAGAAGAAACTAATCAGGCGCCACCCCTGATTGCACAAGATAAGTATCTAAACATGATATTTTAATGTAAGTACTTGTATTCAGTCAATAAAAATACATTGTAACACAATAAGGGATCGGTCATTTGAAATCATGGGGGGGGGGGCTGAAAGAGATATTGAAAATGCAAGCAAGACACCAAGAAGAAAACATGGATGCAAATATATTTGCATATAATATTCAAGAAAATAAAAATGTAAAAACAAGAAACGTCGAAAAAATGCACTTGCCACACTCTTCCAGTCACATGCACCCGCCCCATGATTGACCCGTAATCTCATTTCAAAGGTTATATACTAGTCTACATTAGTACCCCGGATGTATAGTGTAAAATACTTTATTTTAGCTGGAATTAATTTTTGCTGAAAAGACTTTTTGGGTGTTTTCTATGGAATCAATTTTCACTGATTTTTGACAAGTTGAATGTAAAATATAAGGAAAAAGGTATATTGGCTTTATTTTAATTTCACTGCATCATTCCTTCATCAACAATAGCGAACCTTGCATCAGCACGTCATGGGAACGTTATTTCAATGGGTCCTCCCATCACTTTATACGTAACGTAACATGTTCTAACGTCCACCATTGTCTGGCTTATGTATTGTCACTAATAGTTGTGATTAACACTTTATTTTCAATTAACCTGAGATGTCAGACATTTTAAAGACTTGCATGGCTGTTTAAAGGGTGGCAGTCGTCGTGCCGCGTCCTGATCGATATGGGACTCATAGCGACGTATACAACGCGTGTAAAATACACTGTTTATTTACATGAAATTCGAACACGCGCTGCGCGACGACCACCGCGCTTTAATGTATTCCTTTTCGTCAACTTTTAAACGAAAATTGTGCTTAAATCCTGCCTAATTAGTAAACTAACATCGTAATTGTGTTCTATAAACATTCATTACTGTATACGACAGAAATTAAAAATACTCCATATATTCTGATTATCAAAAAAGAATCATTTCGCAGAGCACTCTGACACCACGCATGGGGTGAGATTTGCAAACTGAAATCTAGTCGCTGCGCTTTTTAAGATCCGCATCTCATATAGGCACATTTGAGTTGATATTTCATCAAAATCGAACTGACTCATTTATTAACATTTCACCAGTTTAATAAACGCGTTAAAATAATACCAAATAAGATGTATGTAACAAAAACAAAAACAAATGATAAAAATAAAAAATACACGTCGTACAAATTAATCAATGTTTAGCCAATCGGAAAGAAACAAGTTTATACAATCTGGTTGGATTAGTACAAATCACGGACAACGATCGTGTGATGAGCCCGACTGACATGACCACTATACGGCTATGTGTTTTTTGACCAAAAAAATATCATTATTATCATTATTGTTATTATCATTACTATATTTCGTTTTCCAATCTGTTACACACGAACAGAATGAACCATTTTATCCACTTCACCACGTGATGAACATCGCAATGGATCTATACTGTGTCTATGATCCTACTCAACACAATTAGACAGTGTAACAAGCTTTATTAACATACTATGCACAAAGAGTACTGTGATGCTAAAATGTCTAGCAAAATACATATATGAATGCTTCAAACTAAGAGAAAGCAAATTAAAAAAAAACAGCTGCCTCACAGATATCCAAATAAGTAATGTATACAAATCCTTACATTTACTTTATTAATTAATTTGCATTTTTAATCCATTTTCGGGCAAGTTTGTTTTTGTTTTTTTGTTTTGTTTAGTTATTTTTTTCTACTAGTGTATCTTTTTTATTCTGAATGTTTCTAACATGGAACGACAATCATGCTTGATTGTACTCACCAAGAATTCAATCAGGGTTTATCACTCACCAGGAATTCAATAGGGGTTACACCACTTACCAGAAATGCAATAGGGTTTACACCACTCACCAGGAATTCAATTAGGGCTTTATCACTCACCAGGAATTCAATAGGAGTTACACCACTCACCAGAAATTCAATAAGAGTTTCACCACTTACCAGGAATTCAATTAGGGCTTTATCACTCACCAGGAATTCAATAGGGGTTACACCACTCATCAGAAATTCAATTGGGTTACACCACTCACCAGGAGTTCAATAGGGGTTTCACTACTTAACAGGAATTCAATTGGGTTTCACCACTTACCAGGAATTCAATTGTGGTTTCACCACTTACCAGGAATTCAATTGGGTTTCACCACTTACCAGGAATTCAATTTGGGTTACACCACTTACCAGGAATTCAATTGTGGTTTATCACTCACCAGGAATTCAATTGGGGTTTATCACTCACCAGGAATTCAATTGGGGTTTATCACTCACCAGGAATTCAATTGGCGTTAGACCACTCACCAGGAATTCAATTTGGGTTTCACCATTTACCAGGAATTCAATTTGAGTTTCACCACTCACCAGAAATTCAATTGGGTTTCATCACTCACCGGGAATTCAATTGGGGTTATACCACTCGCCAGAAATTCAATTGGGGTTACACCACTCACCAGGAATTCAATTGGGGTTACACCACTCACCAGGAGTTCAATAGGAGTTTCACCACTTACCAGGAATTCAATTGGGGTTTATCACTCACCAGGAATTCAATAGGGGTTTCACCACTTACCAGGAATTCAATTGGGGTTACACCACTCGCCAGAAATTCAATTGGGGTTACACCACTCACCAGGAATTCAATTGGGCGTTTATCACTTACCAGGAATTTAATTGGGTTTCATCACTTACCAGGAATTCAATTTCGCCATTCCCCGCTGGGAATAAAATCTAGTCTTTCACCGTTCATCGCTGGAAATGAAGTCTGGGTTTTTACCGCACCCCGGACATTGAAATGTACACTTAACGTGGAATGTAGTGAAATTAAGTTGCAAGTTTGATCAATTGAATTGAATCTTTCACCAGGAATACAGAAGTGGAGGTACTCCACTTATCAGAAATTGTGTTGTACCCATGCCCAGGAATATAGTAGACCTATCACCACTCACCAAAAAATAGAGTTTAACGGGAAGTGGTTGTCTTAAGCCGTCCACCATTCTTCGCAAGTGTTTTTCCCAACCTTCTACATATGGCCGAGTCTTTTTACGAAACACCAGATGCCGAAACAGTCATTCATCACATTTAAAGATTTGTCCTTTATGTTAAGACTGTTCAGAGTACCAATATGTTCCTAACGTCCTAAACATGTTTTGATAACTCTGACTTGGTGAGTGACCCATGTTTTATTGGAGGTTAATTTAAAAATTCGTATTTATTATTGCGATGTACTTGTTTGAAAAGCAGTGTACGGTGTTGGCACCGTGTACGAGTAAACCTCCCCCAGGGTCTAACGTCACGGTGAAATGCATCGGAGACAGTATCCTGTCAACGAGGTTTTCAGTGCCCGTTGTCACCGCCGTGTCGAGACATTGAGTAAATGTAATAAGTGTCATGCAAGTCGTCGCGTTATACACTCATGAGCGCCAGAAGGTCCGAGACCTCTGCTTTATTGCCCATCCCTTCTCGATTTGAAGGGTGAGGTTACATCAGTTAGACCTCAACGTCCCAGCTGTTTGGTTGGTGCTTGTCACAATCGCTGAACAAAGGTCCCGTCAATTGAAAGCTGACCAATGGGTAAAGTACTGCGGGCCTTTTCACCATTCAATTAATTCAACAAAGGCGTACAATGCTCGTCATGCCAGCGTGGACAATGCAGACAAACACAATGATATCGGTCCATACGTACTATTGCTTGACATATCCAGACTGGTTAAGCATATGTTGATTTTTGTTTTGTTTTGCTTGTACGGAATTTAGTGTTGTTTTTCACCGGGATATTCGCGTTTCAATAAACACTGCAGCATGCTTTTAAGCAAGGCACTCGTGGTAGGAGAGATATTCATGGATGAAATGGAACTCAAGTGCTTTCCCTTTCAATACAGCCCACCGTGTCCATGTGGTTCCACCGAATCAGTCACGTGTTTAACATTGCAAACTTGTTTCTTTGAGGGAAAAAAAAGGGCGAGAAAACGAGCGACTTGTGAAACGTGTACAATATTGGAGTGGGGGTACTGGTAGCATTATATCAGTTGCAGTAATTATAGCCCCGGACTCGGAACTGGCCCAATAACGGCACATGTCTCTTTACATACAATTAAATATATAATTAAATTGCTGAACATACATTCACATGGAATAATGATTTATGCCGCCCTGCATTTAGTGTAATATTACTCGCTCACAAAATAGTATTCAATTGCGTTAATTAATGACGACCGACTAATTAGCTAAGTATGGCCAACACAATACATGTAAACATTTTGTCAACGAGAAAATGATGATTAATATAAAAGATGCGTAATTTAATAATGTCTGAAATAGCACTGTAATAAATAAATAAATAACGCACGCACACACACACACACACACACACACACACACACACACACACACACACACACACACACACACACACATACATACATACATACATGCAGACATACACGTTGTGTTTGAATACAATTCCTAAAATCGGTCAACAAAATATCAAATAACACGCTGTAAAAAAAAAAAAAAAAAAAAAAAAAAAAAAATATACTACAATACATTTATGTTACCATTTAAAAAATATTAAGTACAATTATAAGTCTACATGAAATTATGCACTTTGGTTGTGATACACACAGGACCAATATATTAATTATGACGTTACATGACTTAATGGGACAGCTCTTTAAAGCATACACAGTAAATATAGAAAAATGCGAACACGCTTAATACACGGGAGAAAGAGACATTTTATGATTGCCGTGGTACCCATGGCTCTTTTTCTTGAAAGATCAGATGATTTCAATTCAAGTCACGTGATACCGCGACCGGGCCCTGATGTCAGGGTCAGCTGATTTCAGTTCAAGTCATGTGATACCGGAGCAGTGTTAGATGATGTCAGTTTAAGTCATGTGATATCAGGACCAGGTCCTGATTTCAGGGTCAGATGGTGTCAGTTCAAATCACGTGATACCGCGACCAAGCCCTGATGTCAGGGTCAGACGATGTCAGTTCAAGTCATGTGATACCGGGACCAGGCCCTTATGTCAGGGTCAGATGATGTCAGTTCAAGTCATGTGATACCGGGACCAGGCCCTTATGTCAGGGTCAGACGATGTCAGTTCAAGTCATTTGATACCGGGACCAGGCCCTGATGTCAGGGTCAGATGATGTCAGTTCAAGTCATGTGATAACGGGACCAGGCCCTGATGCCAGGGTCAGATGGTGTCAGTTCAAGTCATGTGATACCAGGACCAGGCCCTGATGCCAGGGTCAGATGACGTCAGTTAAAGTCATGTGATACCGGGACCAGGCCCTGATGCCAGGGTGAGATGGTGTCAGTTCAAGTCATGTGATACCAAGACCAGGCCATGATGTCAGGGTCAGACGATGTCAGTTCAAGTCATGTGATACCGGGACCGGGACGGGTAAGGTGTTATCCTGGTCAGGTCGGGTCGGATCGGGTCATATGATGTCAAATGAGGTTAAATGGGGTAACACAATTTCACAGATAGACTATTTAAAATAAATTCTCCCAGGTCTCATGTCAGTCTTATATACAAGACATATCACTACTTGCACTGTAACTATAGTGACTTGTAGGGATATATGAGGATACGGGTAATCAATTGACGCTGTCGCCATTAATATGTATTATACTGGCTTCCCTCGTATCAATGTGCAACCTGGCCACTGAGTTGGTTTCAAAACACATATAGCATTACATGGATGTCTTATAATCACTTCACAAAGTGACTCGTACTTCAAAATGACTCCCCTGAGTAATGATATGGATAATATCATGGCGTTATTCAGTGAGCTTCGTCTGGTGTAAGCAAGACTACTTCTGACACGAAGATTTGACACATGAATAAACTCTGGGATTCGTTATATGAGTAGGCCATCGTCTCCCATAATTAACGGAAGAGCGGGAAGGTCAGCTTTTGTCCACACAGCTTAATTTAATACAAATAATATAATACATACATTCAACTGCTAGCAAGTTGTTGTAACTGTGTCGAGGGATATTAGTTGTAACTACACATGTATTTAACTTACCCTTACTTCCATGCCCTTAGGTAACTCTTACATGTAGTTATAACTTCACGAGTAGTGAAAACTAGAGACTCACTATAACTGAATATTAGTAGTCTATAACTATTAGGTAAGTATTAACTTCATGCGCAGTCGGCACTTCCAATATTACACAGTCATATTTTTAGCCCTTCTAAAAGCGCGGTGGTCGTCGCATAGCGAGTGTTCGAATTTCATGTATTTTACACGCGTTGTATGCGTCGCTATGAGTCCCATATCGAACAGGACGCGGCGCGACGACTGCCGCCCTTTAAGGTAGTCCTTTATTGTGTGTATTCGTTTGAAACAAAATGGTCAAAAAATAAAGAAAAGATATAGATTCGAAAACAAGTCGAAACTGAAATCAATGGTTTCCCCGGATCTGAAAAACATGAAGCGGAAAATTCGACTAACTAGGCCGACTCTGTTTATGACTGTATATCACACAGACTCGAAGTCGTCATGGTACTAGTACTCTTCAGCCCCCCCAATAGTTTAGTTTAACAATCATTAGTCTCTAGTCACTGGTCTACCAGGGAAATCGATCCCTGATTGACTATTGAAAGCATTCGTAGCATTCCGCAAACAAATAGTGGAATGCATATGGTAGAAGTCCAAGTTCATGTCGTTAATCTTAGAAGTTATCCTGTTAGCAATACTCACAAAGAGATTTGTGCAAATAACAAAAAAAAAAGTATTTCCAAAGTAGCTGTCCTTAAGTTTTGAATATGAGTTTATTCCATGATTAGTTCATGTTACATTTTTATTTCATTGGACGAGGCTTTATGCAAATTGGAAAACGGGTGAAGCCATGTAATTTGTTTATCCAGCGTGATGTGTTGAACCTCAGACTAGTAATACAAGTCTGAGGTTGAACCATGGAACTACAAACCATGGTTGAACAATAAGGGTTTTGTTTTTACCAATAGTTACTACACATTAATATATGTGGAAAGCAATATAAAAAATAATAATTGAGTGAAAAATGAGCCACTTTTATATGCTATATACAAGACCAAAACACACGGTATTTCTCGGTAAATATTTCTTTGAAACAGCACATAATGGAACTATACAGCGTTAAACAGTTCGTTGAGATTTTGGATGGAGAGATATTCAGTACAGAATAAATTCCATTACATTTTAATTATATATAATAATGTCTCGTGTAGTTCATTTATCATATGGCTCTTTAAAAAAAGGTCCGTGATTTAAAATGGGATTTAGGGAGGAAATTTGGTATGAACTTAATCTCAAATCAAATTTGCTTATTCAAATAAATTACAAAGAGAACATAAAGTAGAATTGTAGTGAAAGCGATATAAACAAGGGTATCCCATGATTCTGTGGCGCAACTTATCGGGTAGAGACAACTTCTCTTTTATATTCAAAACGCCTTACGGTGTACGTCTACACTGTGACACATACTTAAACCATGTATAGTGGCCTTAGGATGTACAGATGACATGGAAAAGAAAATATCTCCCACGGACAAAACCGTTTACAGCATAATGTACAATATATATGTTTGTATTTTTTGTATATGCGAAGTATACTCTTACGCTCGTTCTACCCTTGTTCGAACCTGTGAAAGGTCAACTACCAATTTACAGGATCAAATTAGTCAATTTAATCTATGTGCAATGTTAATTAAAATACTCGAAATTGGCCGGTGGTGTCTCTGTTGATCGCGTGAACTAGGCACTTATCACATCGGATCACGACCAGTTACAACCATCAAGGTTAAGATTTAGTTTAAACTACCTTCCTCAATTGAGGGAAGCACTTCAGTTGAGCTCAAACTGACGCTTGCGTTTAAATACAGGACTAGAATTACAATGGAAAACAAAGGCCAGATTAGTATTGTAAACAAAGTTGTCACATAGTGCAAACCAGGGATTGGCGGCCACCCGTTAAACAGCTTCAGCAATAAACTCTATCTAAATTATAAAACTTTATTAAACTTTCTGTGTGTAGTTCATTTCTACAATGCAAAGAAGTATGTTAGTTAAATCTATAAAGGGACTATGATTAAACGCATCACTTTACCAAACGGCCGGGAACACGTGGCAACTTAATACCCACAGTATTGTACTGACCGATGTCCTACAGGGCGTCAACGTAATGGAACACACCCCGGGGACCGCACACTCAAGTCAACGTTGTATGTGCTCGTATTTGTTGTGTATTCATCAGGCTTCCGAGTTGTTGCGTCTTTATTTTACTCACTTCATTTCCATTAAAAATGTCGAACCCAGAATAGCGAACGTGGTTAAACGCGTTATTTGGGACTACCTGCACTTGGCAACCGCGGCATTTCTGAGGTCGTCGGCGTTTATAATTAGTAGTGTGCTGTAGGTGTATTAGTCAACGCACAATACGAGGGTCGGCACAGTGCAGGAAATTATATTCATTCCGGGTTTAATTATCCTAATTGTCAATATTAATAGACAACATTAATATATAGGTCTGCTTTTTCTACGAGTACAAGTTCTGTTAAATTAAATTGATTGGTCACTTACTGGTAAATAGTGTACATATACAAGTAACCTGCCGAGGGCTGCAGTTATGTACTTGTTACTGTATCTGCACATTTAGAGGGCAACTCCGACTATATTGGGAACATCCCGATCCCCAGGTGCACTGTGACGTCACACAGCAACTTCAGCATGTTTCGCGACGATGCATGTCACATGACCACTCCTAGATCAACCACCACAAACGACTTTGAATATGTAATTATCCGTGATCGGCGGGGTTGGAATGAGGGGAAAATATGCTCGATTCGCCTTCTTTTCTGCTTCCGCGAAAGGGCATGTGTTCTCCCCCGGGGGAAAGTCCGTGTCTGTTTGTATCACAGGGGATAAAAAACAATAATTACCGAGCCACAATTAGTTTCTGACGGGGTTGTCATTTTCTAATTGGCGACGTGAAGTTGACGTGTATGCGGGCTGTTCTCGTTGCCTCACATCCCCTACCCAAGCGTGACCAACTGACCGAGATTTTGCGGTCTTTTACCGATAACCCAACATAATATACGCCCGATTCGGGGTCAGGAAAAAATACCGCATTGTAAATCAGCACTGGAGAATTCCAAGGGAACGAAAGAGTGTCGTCGCCATGACAAATCAATTAGAAATAAATCATGTAGAATTTCCAGAGGGAGGAACTGGAACAGCTAGTGTTCAATTGCTGGACACACGCCGAAAACATTTTCCTGTCTCTCCCAGAGAATTAGCTTATTTCTGACGACGAAATTCATCGGTCTATTTTCACTCGATAGACCCCATTCTCGGCTCATTCGACTCATTAGGGTTTGTTCCTTCGTGTGGTCTATATTTTGTCCAGTTTTGTCGAATTTTGTCTTTTCAGTTTCCATGTCATTGTTAAGGGGTTTATGCCTCAGTAATTTTCTTTATTGCTCTCATCTCTACACTATTTGTAAAAGCGGGCACTGGTAATTTTAACCGTACTCCCAGTATATTTCAAACATTTTGTTGACGTATCGAATCTGCCTGGAATCTCAACACAGCATATTACCAACTTGTAATTCATCCTTTTCCATCGTATTTTCATTTTAACTGTAATTTGATTCTCTTTGTAGTGAGTGAGGCAAGCTGGAGAAAGAGTTGAAGGGAGCCTACCTCGGATAAACGTGTTCGCCTCTCAGATTCATCCGGTGCCCTTCCCAGCGACAAATCTCCGCCACTTCCGCCGATCTGTGCTCACATCGTCGTGTTTTCGGATACTTACCTCATTGGATTAAGTCTTGAAGGGCATGTAAATATGTCGAGCGAGCGAGGAGAAAGCTCTGGCTCGAGTGGAAATGAGCGTGAACGTGAGGACCACCACAAACAGCAACAAACTCGCCGGCGTGGGAACGAAAAAGAAACGAAGGCGTTGGTGCCAACCAAATGGAGTAAAGCTCTGACAACCAGTGCTAAAAGGTACCTATCTAAAAGGCCTCTGTTTTCATTCCACATCTTTCAAAGATCGCTCTGAGACCAGGGATTGCTATGAATTCAAACCTGAAAGCTGTAATTTTTCGCCACGGATCGATTTGCAAGCGACGTATGGACAGACATTTACATGGAGAGATGTAAAGTCCATTCGCTGTAATACTATCAAGCACCTAATTTGCATATAAGCTAAAAACCTGCAACATTCGAATCATACTCAATTTAACCCCCCGAAACCACCAGAAATACGTTCCAAAGTGTGTCACCTACAGTTCAGAAGAATAATTATGTTGTTTTGCACATTTTTAACCGAGAAACGAGAGTTCGAAATTTAGCGTGCGGGTCATTGAGGACGGCCATGTTTTTTGTCTAGCCAACGGGTCAATGCTTATTTTTGTCCCTTTGTTTCAAGCGCTCATAAAATGCTGTTACACTACTAATAACACAATTTGTCGTTTGTTTTCCTCTCATAGAATTCAAAAGGAATTGGCTGAAATCACACTGGATCCACCGCCTAACTGCAGGTTAGAAATCTTTCGATTTTTCCCTCTGTGAGGCATATTGTCTGTTCTATGGGATTCGCTTTTTCTACTCTGCTTGATATAAGGGTGTAATTCACCGGTTTTGCGCGTGTCAAAAGATTGGCAATCAAATAACAAGCCGACGACAAAACAGGAATGTGTGAAATACAAGTGTAGCCTAACTGTCACCGGATTGGGCTTAAAACTGGAGGGTCGTATTGTTACAGAATTAATATGAGCGGCTTTTTTCGATATTGTCAAAATAATTGTAGCAGCCTAGTGTCAGTTGTGCTAGTAATAATTGCACTGGGGGGTTGTTTTAGCAATTTTTAATCAGATCAACCACACAGCATTTTTAGTTGAAAGAACATTTATTTATTGAGTCTGTTGTTGCAGTTTTTAGCAGATTGATTATAGATTTATAGAAATGTATGCGATTGCTGACTGGCCATGTCAGTATTTATGACCCCCTGTGCTATAATGGATATTTTCTAAATTTGACCTAATGTTTACTGTGTGTGCAAGTATTGACCTACCATGATATGAGCCTGCTGCTGTTTAAATGTGGGAGTGAATGTTTTTTGGCGATTAAGAGACGAAACAGCTTAATTATACTTTGCCTAGTAGTGGAATTATTGTGATCATAATGGACAGTTGTCTTTTAAAACAATCCGGTTTTTTTAATGCCATACCTTCTTTGTCTTTTTTTAGGCAAATTTTAAATTCACACTAATGATGTTCTGAGGAGCTATCTGTGTCATTAAAATTAATGCAGTCTTTGTCTGATATCCCCCTTCTTAATAGTTTTTTATTGAAAATTGAAGTCTAACTGAAAAGCAACCATATTGGAAATTACCAATCTTCTGAAATTTGTATTAAACCAAAGATTGTTTAGATGAAAAAGTGACTAAGTGGTGGTGTTGTGACATCTCAAATTTTAAACACAATGCTTTTAATATTCTTAACATTTTAGGTATGCCTTAAAGTATTTTTGTTTCTTTGGGAAGCTGAATTTTTACCTGCTGTTGCTGTTCCTAGTTACAGTAAATACAAGTGAATGTTTAATTACGCTTAGATCAAAGCTACAATGTTTGAGTTGTGAGTGGCTTTTCATGACATAGACTTTTGATAAATGAACGACTAACAATTAAGTAGCATCATAAAATAAAAGTGTTTGAGGCATGTTTTTGTTGTTCAGCACTGAGCACTCTATTCTCATCTCTCACTCTCAGCCCCTGCCTGGGTGTTGTTCCTTGTTGCCTGTGTCAGCGTCACACTGGACAATGGGAAGGTTATTTATTCAAGTTTACATTGATTTAGGCAGTTTACATTGGCTTGGTTTTTGTATGGTTTCCTTTCATTGTGTGCAAGATCAATGAAAAACAAATGGTCTGTGTGAGATTATTTTAGATCTAGTGTGAAAATAAAATGTTACCAGATTTGCATTTACATAAGTCTTTTAAACAGGAGCCAGTGTTGTATTTAAAATTCCTGACTGCAACCTTGAAATATCAGCAAACACTGCTATGAATGACAAATTATTTAGATGATTGGTATTCTATGACTTGTATGAAATCTTGAGCTCAGTCTTCATGGCATATTTTTAGCCTCATGCTCATTTCAATCATTCTGCAATTGTAACATATTTATTTCATGTAATTGCTTCTACTGGTCTATGTTTTATGTAACCTCAAATACCTGGTTTGTAAATTAATTTGCTTATTATGAACTATCTGAAGAGTGTTTATATTTAGACTACAGCTGAAACTCAAGTTTACTGCTAATAATAATGTCTCGAATTGTATGGTTGTACATGTTGTCACTAGAGACAGCTTTAATTTTGGAAGACTAATTTTTACTGAATTTTAAATTTGGCAAATCATAGCGACTTTTTGTTCACACCATTAAATCTTAATAATGACTGTGACATTAAAACTGTTTAAATTACTGTGGAAGAAGAAATATTCAGTGTGCTTAATTTTTGAGGATTTAATGTTGCTGGTATGCTCACTTGGCTTTAATTTCACTGGTTTGTTAAGGAGACAATATATTCTATTGTTAAATGTAAATAAATATTCACTGGATTTTAATTTAGCAATCGTCAAAATAAGCAGAAATAAAACACACGTCATATACCGTATATTTAACTACTAAAATTGTGATTTAACTTCAGAAATATAATTTGTGATTGAATCCTTTGAGTACCTTCATTTTCTCTTAACAATTTCAATGTTGCATTTTGCAAATTTTTCTAAAAATTTATTGTTAATTTATCAGATAGAAATAATTTCCCATTTTGACTTTGCCATTTGAAGAGTAAAAAGTGGTAGTCTGGAACCAACTTTTCAGATTAAGAATCGGGGTGCAGGCCTGGTTTCTTACAAGGTGTGCAATGAAAAATACTGATATGGTTATCTTTGGTTTGATGACTTTGAACTTGGAATGATTACCTGCTGGAAATTTTACCTACTTTCCCATATTCTGCTTTCCCAGACTTCATTGATAATTGTGAATTACTATTCATTTTTTCATCAGAACTTGATTCTTGAAAATGCTGGCTCAATCCCTGTTTGAAGTGTACATGTACAGCTCTTGCATGGAAGTAGTTGATATCATGCAATAATGTTGTCTTCATGATGTCTGTCATCTTGAAACGCTGATTTTTCTCATTGGGAAATCATTAATCCACTCTTCTCTCTGGAGAGGGCAATTCTTAAAATAAAAGAATGCATTCGTTTTAAAGCTGCCTTTTTTGGCTGAATGCTTGGAGTCATTTGGGATATTTCTTTGAGATAGACTTTAGCTTAAAATCCTAGTGAAATTCTGTTGAGGGGTTTTCAAGATTTTCTAATTTAAAAGCAATGCTGCATGACATTTGCTGTTACCTCATGTTTAAAATGCCTGTGAAAATTGCTGTTTCCCTGTGTTTCTAGAACACCTGTAAAAACTGCTGTTGCCCAGTGTTTCTAGAACCCCTGTAAAAACTTCTGTTGCTCTGTATTTCTAGAACACATGTAAAAATTGCTGTTGCCCTGTGTCTTTTAGAACCCCTGTGAAATTTTTCAGTGTTGTTTATTGCTTTTTGTAAGACTGAATAAACCACCATTTTGAATTTTTTACCAGCAAAAATATAAATTGGGTTATTATTCACAATGCCTTTAATAATTTTTTTTATCACGGCTGCCCTTAAAAAGATCAAATCATATAGTATCTAGCAGCAACAATTGTATTGTTCCTGCGGTTACATAATATTAGCTGAATTTTCAATGAAAAGGCAATTGTGTTACATTCACATATTAAGATATTTTGTCAGCATGTTAAAGAAAAAAACAAGTCAATTTCTGGATTTTATACTTACAAGTACAGACATAATTGTTGACAAATTTGATAGATATCTTCTCAACCAGATAGTTTTCAGTGTTTTGCAGGTGGACAGAAAACCAGACAATGTCATATGCAAATTGACTTATGTGTTTAATTTAAATAACTGTTAATCATCTGCTCTAAAAGCCTCCTACTTACTACATTATAACTTGTACTTTTGTGTTGGTTGTGCAATCTCACTGTTGATCAAGTTTATCCCCAGCTCTTGCTGTGATCGTTATCAATTTCTGTGTTTTCACAATAACATGCAACTCTAGAATTTACAATTGCAAATATGGCAATGACAGACATTTTTATTTTGGGGTGGGGGTGGGGTTGTGGTAGCATTGGAAATTGAGTTATGTCTTGTACATGTGCTTCTATGTTAAGTTCTGTCTCTTGCTGAGAGTAATCACTAACTTGTACCTTCCCTTAGCTGTATTTATTTCATCTTAAATTCTTTTGTTTCAAATAGTACATAATGTTCTGAGAGAAAAGCATGTCATGGGTGCCCAGTGTACATTAAAACTCTACCCTATTGGAATTAATGTCAATTTAACCACACTACCAATCTGACCTCTTTATCATTAGTTTGGTATTTATTAATCAGTACATAGGTGCTCATTTTTACACTCTGATTGTGTCATTGACTGATGTTAAATCATTCACATTTTGAAGTGCAATGTGTCTTCATCTCATTACAATGTCATGAGGTGTGGCCTCTTGTGGAGGGAAAGAAGGTTGTTAATTCAACACAGGAAAAATGTTGTTGGCCCAGTGACATGGGATGGAGATCCCACCCTGGAGAATTGGGGAAGGTGTTGTATGCCATTGTGACGTGGGAAAGGTTATGCAGTCCTTGTGACGTGGGAAAGGTGATGTGGCCCTCTTGACATGGGAAAGGTGATGTGGTCCTTGTGATGTGGGAAAGGTGATGTGGCCCTTGTGACGTGGGAAAGGTGATGTGGCCCTTGTGACGTGGGAAAGGTGATGTGGCCCTTGTGACGTGGGAAAGGTGATGTGGCCCTTGTGACGTGGGAAAGGTGATGTGGCCCTTGTGACGTGGGAAAGGTGATGTGGTCCTTGTGACGTGGGAAAGGTGATGTGGCCCTTGTGATGTGTCCCTTGTGATGTGGGAAAGGTGATGTGGCCCCAGTGCTGGAAGAATGCGCATTGGAGGTGCTTGTTATACAGACAGGGAGGAGCCTTTATACAGACAGTGAGGGGGGCCTTTATACAGACAGTGAGGGGGCCTTTATACAGACAGTGAGGGGGCCTTTATACAGACGGTGAGGGGGCCTTTATACGGACGGTGAGGGGGCCTTTATACGGACGGTGAGGGGGCCTTTATACGGACAGTGAGGGGGCCTTTATACAGACAGTGAGGGGGCCTTTATACAGACAGTGAGGGGGCCTTTATACAGACAGTGAGGGGGCCTTTATACAGACAGTGAGGGGGCCTTTATACAGACAGTGAGGGGGCCTTTATACAGACAGTGAGGGGGCCTATATACAGACAGTGAGGGGGCCTATATACAGACAGTGAGGGGGCCTATATACAGACAGTGAGGGGGCCTTTATACAGACAGTGAGGGGGCCTTTATACAGACAGTGAGGGGGCCTTTATACAGACAGTGACA